CCACATATACCTACGAAAGGATTCCCTGTGCCGTGTCGTCGTTATAGAGTAAATTAAGAAGGCTTTACTCTGTAACATTACTTACTTAAAATCCTTAATGAAATGTTTTGCAATTTTTTCGAGACTATTTTAAAGTGCATCTCTATAACTTTGAAATGCCCTATTGGCAGCTAATTTTAGAACAGAAATATCTTTATGTGAGAATTTTCTTAATAAAAAACATAGCTTAACGCATTTATAAATTATTGCTTTTGTAAGGTGTTGTACTCTAAAAAACAAATATTTTAAATATGTTTAAAATATCATTAATTCCTAAAAATATTGTAAAATTTAGTATCATATATAAATTTTAAATATGAATAAAAAAATACCTTACTTGTTGAGTAAGAACATCGATGTTTTCTTTATTATCTGACTTTGTAAGACCATTATATTGGGCCATTTGGTTTGCAATCTTTAAAAGTTTTTGTCGTTCAGCAATATATGCTGCTGCTTTATAATCAGAATTGAATGAGAGAGTTCTGCAGCTGTTTGACCAGGATTGAGAACATCGTTGTAATCGAGAACTAGAGCATCTTTGTCAAGAACAAGAGCATCTTGGTGATCGAGAAAGAGAATGACACAAATGAAGTTGTATTGGTGATTGTGAACGAGAATAGCGTGAATGAAAACGTTTCAATGGTCAAGAGTAAGAATGTTGAGAATGCCTTGATGATCAAGAATAAGAATATCATGGCGAGATTGTCTCTAGGATTGAGATCGAAGATTTTGTAACTGGGAACAAGAACGAGAGTAATTTTAACCCTCAATATTGTTTTTTAAAAGTGATCTATTAACAGAGTCAAAGTCTTCATTAGTATAATCTTCAGGATTATAGCTTCTATTATTCTTATTCTTGTCATTAAGAGGCTTGTTATGCTTGAGTAAAAATGTTTGTTTTTTGCTAGAAGTTGCAGATACTCTCTTAGAAGCATGTGTATTATTAAAAGAGTTAGGGTTTTCGGATTCAAAGTCTTTAGGTTCAGTGTATTTGGATTCAGAGTCATGGTTTCCAACATTCTTATCGTAGTCATTATGAGTATCGTTACTCTTGGATGATTTATTAGAAAGTATAATTTTCTTTTTGTTTGCAGGTTTTTTTTGGAAGCACGTGTATTTCTTTTCAACCTAGATTCTTAGGCATTATGAACAATTTCTTTCAAGAATGGTATACTTTTAATAAATAATGGATATAATTTATTTATCTTCTTATAAATGACGATGAAATATAAATTGTGTTTATGATTTTTTTTTAAATCAGTGTAGTTCTAATAGTTACAATACTTACTATAGTGGTTTCACAAGACCTTGGTTCATGTGTAACTTGATATGTGTGTTTTATATTATTTCAATTTATTTAAGTGAAAGACTTACTTTATTTATTTTCTTTAACTTTTATATTATTTTTGTATTATATCATTTCATCGCCTCCCTTATTAAAATTATTACAAACTTCTTATTTTTAATTATTTTATCATAATATACATACAGATTACACTATATCGATGCATCTGATCTCGATTCAATCACCTACATTTCTCTTATAATCACTGCTGAAGCCGCCATGCTACGTGTATCATGTGAAATATTCACTTTACATTTACCTTCGTTATTACCCTTCATTTTATTAACCAATCTCATTATTAAGCTTACTTAAATCAATTTGGGTTTACTAAACCTAAATTTAAAATTCATGTTTGTTTGATTTCTGACATAATTATGATTCAAAAGTAAAATAGAATTACGAAATTAAACAAAAAAGAAAAATCATATTCATGGTCAAAAGAACGAGGAACTGTTGATCCTTCATCCGGTGTGCAACATATAAAAAAATTATTTTACAATACTAGATTATTCCACTAGTGCAAGTTATTATTATAATCACATACTGGTATTGTAAAATAATTTTTTCTATGTTGTATATCTGGTGAAGGATCAGTTATGTAGCATTAAGATTTCTTCTGTTCATCACAAGAACTCTATTTAAACTTAACAAAAGTTGCTGAACATTGGACAACACTCTTCAAAAATGTAATTATTGCGATGAAGACTGTGTTGATATAGTTGATCAACTAAAAGATCATTTATTAAAATATAATATATAAGATTTGTTAAAAACTCAAAAAAAACAGGATTCTAGTACTTTAAATAATTTATTCCCAAAAATTTATTTAAGTTTTAGGCTATACAAAGTTAATTATTCATTTTGTATTACTTGCCAACTAATTTTTTCAAATTTTCAAATTTTTTTTTTTTTAGGTTCCAATTGTGCCAATTGTTCTATTTTTGCCATTTAATTTTTACTCATAAATTATTCCGGTATCACCCAATAGAGACCTTATTTTTCAAGAATTATCTTATAGAACTAATAAAAAAAATTTGATTGCCAACCAATTTTTTGATTTTATGTTATGTAAAGCAAGAAATTAACTATACATGACCTTAAATGTGAATATGAGTCTATTATTTACTGTAGAATTAAAAAAAAAAAAAAAAAAACCTCCTCCCAACCACCAACCATTGATTCTGAAATCCATGTAATACAAAATAAAAAATTAACTTTGCATAGTTTTATATAGTTGCATTATTGTAAACCTTGAACTTTTAATACAAACAAATATAAAACTAATATAGAATAAAAAGTTTTATAATATTTTTAAAAAATAATTATATTTTTATTATATATTTAATAATATATTTATCCCTTAGATTGTAACACAGGCAAATTTGCCTGCGTATTTTAAAATTTTTAATAAAATTTTAAATATTGAT